GGGGGGGGTTGGGTGGGGGGTTGGGTGGGTGCAGATTTGGCCGTTGCGTCACACTCTTTGGGGCTTGTCGCCTGTGTTTCTCTGCAGGGCAGAAACCGCCCGTGAGACAGCATGGCCTGGTGGAGATCCCTCTTTCGGAGCGTGGTAAGGCAGGGGTTAAAAGGTTGGCAAACCGCCCTCCCCCCCAGACTTGGCCCGTGCCCCTCCCAGTCCAGTCCTGACCCACACTCTGCCTCCCTTCTCTGACTGCCCCCCAGAACAGCAAGAAGCCCGCCCGGCGGTCCTACACCATCTACCGCAACACGCCCGAGGGGGAGGGGGCCTGCCGTCTGGAGGGGCTGCAGGTGAAGGTGGTGGAAGCCGAGGAGCAGGAGGGGGCCGTGGCTGCTGGCCTCGGCAAGGAACCGGCCAGGCCCGCCTGTTGCCCGTGGCAGGACCGGTGGAAGGCAGGCTCCTACGTGGTGCTCGTGGGCCTCCTGATCTTCATTGTAGGTAAGCACCCCGCGCTGGACCACCTCCGCCCTGGCCACGTGCAGCCACGGAGCTGGCCGTGAATGCTTCCATTAGTCACAGGCCTTGGGCCCCACGGCTGACTGGCCCCTCCCAGAAACGTGTCCTTTCTTCTAGGTACCACTGGAGGACCTGCCCCCTTCACAAGTGCGCCCCTTCCTCGTGGCCTCCTTGTAGGTGGCCAGCTCCAGATTCAGAAATACCTGGAGACATGAGGGTGCAGCTGGGAAGAATGGGATTTGGGGAAGGGAGGGGCCTCGGTAGGGTCTAAGGCCATGCAGCCCACCTTGCAAGGTAACCACTTTCTCCAGAGAGCCAGTTTGGTGTCGTGGTGAAGTGCGTGGACTCTAATCTGGGAGAACCGGCTTTGATTCCCCACTCCTCCACTCGCAGCTGCTGGATGACCTTGGGCTAGCCATAGTTCTGACAAGAGCTGTCCTTGAAAAAGAGAAGTTTCTGTCCAGAGCTCTCTCAGCCCCACCTACCTCACAGGGTGTCTGTTGTGGGGAGGGGGAGGGAAAGGAGATTGTGAGCCGCTCTGAGACTCCCTTGGGCCATGAAGGGCAGGGTATGAATCCAATCTCCTCTTCTTCTTCTCTCTCCAAGAGAAGTGGCATAAATGTTTTTAATACATTGGTGGTCTCTGTAGTCAGGAGATCAGTTGTAATTCTGGGAGATCTCCAGGCCTCACCTGGAGCCTGGCAACCCAGCTCTTTTCATGGCACCAATCCTGCCTTGGACATGGAGCCTTGTTTTGCTCAGCCTGCCCTGGGAGCCAAAACTCAAAAAGCCCCTTCTGGGAGCCACATCCCAAGTCCCCCTCCCTCCCTCCCTGAGAGCCAGTTTGGTGTAGTGGTTAGGAGCTCGGACTCTAATCTGGGAGAACCGGCTTTGATTCCCCAGTCCTCCACTCGCAGCTGATGGATTACCTTGGCCAAGCCATAGTTCTGACAAGAGCTGTTCTTGAAAAAAAGAGCTCTCTCGGGGGGCCCTCCGCCTCACAGGGCGTCTGTTGGGGGGAGGGGAAGGGAAAGGAGTTTGTGAGCCGCTCTGAGACTCCAAGTGAAGGGCCACGGGGTATAAATCCAATCTCCTCCTCCTCCTCGTCTTCTTCTTCTTCTTCTCTGGCCACCAAACCCCACCTTGGATTGGCTTCCCAATAAGAACCTCAGAAGGGCCCTGCTGGATCAGACCACTGAGGGTCCCTCTAGTCCAGCACCCTGTTTTCTCACACACCAGCCAGCCAGTTCCTCTGGAGGGACAACAACAGGGCGTAGAGGCCGAGGCCTTCCCCTGATGTTGTCTCCTGGCTCTGGGATTCAGAGGTTTATTGCCTCTGTAGGTGCATGTTCCCCACAGTCACCATGGCTAGCAGCCCCTGATAGACGTCTCCTCTGTGAATCTAATCCCCTTTTCAAGCCGCCTCAGCCTGTGGCCATCACTACGTCCTCTGGCAGCGAGTGCCACATTTTAATAACGGTCCCCTCTTTTGCTTTCCTTTCCTTTGGGATCCATCCCACGTCTTCACAACTGCTTGTGTCCTACAACAATTTAAGGAAATTGATGAATAGTGTAGACCATATATAAAGTAAAGGTAAAGGTAAAGGTTCCCTTGCGCGAAAGCCAGTCGAATCCGACTCTAGGGTTGCGGTGCTCATCTCCATTTCAAAGCCGAAGAGCCAGTGCTGTCCGAGGACGTTTCCGTGGTCATGGGGCCGGCATGACTAAACACCAAGGCGCACGGGACGCTGTTCTCTTCCCACCGAAGTGGTACCTATTTACCTACTTTCAATTTCTTGCTTTCGAACTGCTAGGGTGGCAGGAGCTGGAACTAGAGACGGGAGCTCACTCCGTCATGCGGCAACTCGGGTCTCGAACTGCTGAACTACCGACCTTCCACAGCCTGCAGTTCAGCGTCTTAACCACTTGAGCCACTGCAGCTCCTAGACCATATATAACTTAACATCAAATAAAGCTCCAAAGCATTCCAATTCTTAAACAGTTCTTGTCATTTAAATGTTCTTGTTTAAATATGCTGTTGAAAACAATTGGTACACAGGCAAGTTAAGAACTTGAAGGAAACTTGACACCCCCAGGAAAAAGCTTCACTGTTCCAAAACGAAGAAAAGGCTTCTCAATTCCAAACTGGAAAAACACAAATGTCCATGAAGCAAGTGAATCCAGTCCTTAAGACTTGAGGCGAATACTAAGTGATGAGCTCACTTCCACATTAGGCCTTTGGGTCTAGATTCAGGAATGGCCACTCCATTTCCTGCTTACCCTAGGACTCATGATATCATACATTTCTCCCCGCGAACTGAGATCAGAGGAAAAGGCTTCCTGAGGGTTCCAGCAATCACTGAAGCTGTGTTGCCGAAGGCTTTCACGGCCGGAGTTCATTAGTTGTTGTAGATTTTCCGGGTTGTCTGGCCGTGGTCTTGGCATTGTGGGACCTGACGTTTTGCCAGCAGCTGTGACTGGCATCCTCAGAGGTATCACATAGAAAGATGGAGTACTCTCTGTGTCAAGGTGAGAAGAAAAATGGTAGGCAGACTGGGCCAACCTTGAAAATTCAGCAGTGGCTGAACATAGCCTAACTCAAACAGGACACAGTATCTTATTCCAAGACACTGAAAGGCTGGACAACACATCCAATTACCATGTCAGATTACACAGGGAAGCCACTGAAATTCATTAACATAAACACATTTTCAGCAGGAAAGAAGAGAGTTTAAAAATAAATAGGGCATGGTTTCCTGTCCTGAAAAACACAAAATGCTCTACATCTTACAGTAGCCCTACAGATAAGATTAGAGTTTCAACAGCTAATCCATATGCAAAAGAACCTCCACAGGAAAGCTCTTTCATAATGACTCAGCCCTACCCCACCTTCCTGGGTACATATAAATTACCTGCCTACCATTTTTCTTCTTACCTTGCCAAAAGACAGGACTCAGTCTTTCTGTGTGATACCTCTGAGGATGCCGGTTACAGCTGCTGGTGAAATGTCAGGTCCAACAATGCCAAGACCACGGCCTCACAGCCCGGGAAATCTACAATAGCTCATTTGGTGGGCTCACAAAAGGGCCTTTTTGGTGGCAGACCCAAAATTAGGGAACTGCCTCCCCAGGGAGGGAGGGATGCTTTGCCCTCTCACATGTGATCTGTAGGAGGCAGCGGAAGAGATTAGGACCACATTGGATTTAAGAACATAAGAGATGCCAATGTTGGATCAGGCCAGTGGCCCATCCAGTCCAACACTCTGTGTCACACAGATGCCAAAAATACCAGGGGCCATCAGGAGGTCCAGCAGTGGGGCCAGGACATTAGAAGCCCTCCCACTGTTGACCCCCCCCCCCAACCCCC